CCCCCCTCTCTCTCTCATCCCCCCTCCCCGCCCCATCCCTCTCCCTCCCGTCATATCTGGGTCTTCCAGGACCTCTGGGAAGAAACTGTGTGATGGCTGCTTTTCTCAGAAAAGAGTGAATTTTTTGCGATCCTTGTCTATACCTGGGATGCAAGTCCATCCCACAGAGCCTGAGCCAAGGGAGAGGACAGGTTCATCCAAGGACCCCATGGATTGAGGAACAACAAAAGGACCTGGTGTCCGATGCTTTGTCAATGACAGACTTTTCCAAATTTCGGCCCACCCCTGCAGGTCCTCACCACATGGGCCAACTCCAGGAAGGGAGACAGCGTGCCCTTCTCAAGAAATTAGCTTAAGAACTGATGTTGACAAAGCTTCCTTCCTCTCCTTCCCGCCCCCCCAACCCCCAGTGTCCCCGGGAGCCCTGCTTCCCACCCCCACCTTCGGAGGAAGTGGATCTAATGCCTCAACTGAGAGAAGGAGATGTTCTGTTATTTTTCATGGGAAATTAAACCTGACCTTGCTGTCAGTTAGCTCATGCCAAGGGAGGATGGATGGCCCGTGGCACGGCGCTTCACCCCTGCTTGGAGCGTGCCGCCTGGCTGGGGGCCAGCCATGATGTCACCTGCTGCCGGAGTGGGGGTAGGAACAGCAGGACAGGTCAGAGAGCCTTCATCTGGGCTATGGCTGGCAGTGAGGCCACCTTTGGTGTCATCCAAGACGGTCCGCCTCTGACGCCGGCCGGGATCTGCTTCTCCACCAGGGGATGGACACTCAGGCTGCTCCTGTCTCTTTCAGCTCCCAACTCTACCTCGTGCCCTGCGGAGGAAAGCTGGTGGTCAGGGCTGGTGATTGTCACCGCAGTATGTTGTGCCTCCCTGGTGTTTCTCACTGTGCTTGCCATCATTTGCTACAAAGCCATAAAAAGGTGAGTACCCACCAGCTCGGAGCCCTGAGGGGACCCCCTCTGCTCGCCCCCCATCATATGTTTCTTTAATTATAAAAATTATTAAGCATACAAGAAGCAGAAAAAAACATACCATGAACATCCATCTACCTTCACCCTGACTCAACAGTTATCAAGGTTTGGCTAATATTTGCTACATCTCTTTTCCTTTTAGCTTTTTCTTTGCTGAAATATTTTAGAGTTGATCTCAGACATTATAGCCCCGTCATTTTTAGGGAGTTTAGTTCAGCAAGCATTTGATGAGCACCAATTACATGTCAGGCCCACTGTGGTATAAAGTGGCCCTACCTGTAAGTTGCAGGCCCTGACATCAAGAAGTCAGTCAAGGCCTGGGAGTATAGACATAATCCTTGCAGGGTGGCCGATGGGGCCACTGGGGGGAGATGCTATGCTGGTCTGGAGTAGGGACGGGGTTTTGGAGTCAGATCTGAATTCAGACTCCAGTTCCAGCTGTGTGACCAGGAGGAAATCACTTTACCTGAATGGCTGTCCCTTTCCCTCTCTGTAAAACGGGAGAAACGAGAAACAACATCTTATTGTCTTGAGGAGTGGTGAGCCGCCTGCTGTAAACAGTTATGTGTACTCTGCAGTGCTTGGTATACAGTAAGTGCTCACCGGGTACCGTACCAACTTCTGCGGTTTCCATAGTCACGGATCAAGGAAGAAAGATGACAGAGGAGGGGACAATGCTTCTCTTGGGAGAAGAGAGAGGTCGAGATACCTCAGAGAAGGTTTTCAGTGATGGCGACGCCGGAGCTGGGTTTTGACGAATGCGTAGCCGTGTTCCAGTGGGGTCATGAGTGGTAGAACAGCAAACTGCCCTTCAGTGACACTCGCTGTCACTTCTGTAATTAGCATCTCATTTTGCCTTTCAAAGGGTATGAGGGACCATCCCCCAGCTGAGTTGGGGTTTGCTTCACCTGGCGGCTGGGGAGGGGCGGGGCAGGGACGGGGTCTGAGAAGGTGTGGCCTGTATCCTAGGCCACAAGTTTGGCAGATTAGGCCAGGGCGTGAATGGCGCCCCCTAGAGGCACAACATAGCAGCTCCGGCTTCGTCCCTTGAGTTCTAATCTTATCAAGCCTCCAAAAATGGGCCTCCCTAGCACAGGGACCTTGGGGGACAGCAGAGTCAAAAGACAAAGAGAAATGTTGCAAAACGCCAAAGGGTCATAGAGATGGTTAACATATTTCTTTAAACGTTTTTAAAAATTCCATAAGGCCCAAAGTCAGAGGCCATATATTCAGAGCAATCCTAACACCTGAAATATTTAACTTTACCCTTTTAATTGGCTGTCTGATGTGATTTCAGTTCAATAATTCAAAAGCAGAAAGTAAATTATCAAGTTAAAGTCTTAAATAAGCGCACGATCGGGCACACAGGGCGAAGGGACATGTCAGGCCAACAGCCCGGGGTGTCCTGGGGCCTGGGCGGAAGCAGCAGGACGTGGTGAGGCAGGGCCCAGGTGCCGCAGCTCCTCCCAGACTGGGCCCCCCTCCCCCCACCGCCCCGGCCATCAGTGTCCATGCTGCGAAGCAACCTCCAAACGGTAATGATGTCACCAAACAACCGGCGGGCGTAAGCCCGGCCCAGCAAGGTGCTCATCTCTGCATCTCGGCATCGCTTCCCAGGCGGCTCCATCATACAGGTGAGGAGCCCGAGGTCCGAAGGGGTTAAAGGAACTGCCCGCGGGGGCACAGCCGGCAGCAACGGAGCCAGAATCTGTACCCAGCACCGCGATGCAGAGCCCAGTGAGAGTGTCACTGGGAGTTCCACTCGGGCACTGGGCTGAGGACAGACCTCGCTCTTCCTGTCTGCCCTTCCTCGGGGACGCAGGGAATAGGGGGGTGTGTTTGGGCCCTCTGAGGCCAGAAGGACAGATGGACAGAACAGCCCCACAGCTCTAATTCGGGGCAGACCTGGCCCTGGAAAGCAAGGCGACGTGTTGCAGTCTCCCTGGGGACACGGCCAGTCCAGTTCCTAAGTGTTCCGTGGTCGCCTGCTGTGTGTACAGGCTCTGTAGGTACAGAGGCAGGTGAGACCCAGGCTGTGCCCACAGGCTGCTCACCTGAGCCGGGCGGGTATGTGAATGGCCATAATGAGATAGGTAGGTGACGGCCAGCAGCCTGGTGTGGGCGCCCACTGGGAGTCACTGGTCACCCTGATGGGGACACCACATGTGATCCGAGAGCCTGCGACAGCCGGAGGGGGTTTTAAGAAACAGAGCAGGAGAGGCACCAGGTAACCCTGGTGACATGGGATATGAGGCTGGAGGGAAACATGGCCTGGACAGGGGAGGCATTTGTCCCGCTGCGCTGAGCAGCTTGCCGTGGCTCAGCAGTCACTGGGAGGTATGGAAGGGTTTGAGGAGTGTGCACGTTCCCCCTGGGGCACTGCCAGATGGTGGGGCACTAGTCCCCTCGAGGACCCCGCCCCGTTTCCTCTCCCCTCAGAGACAGGCAAAGCATCTTTTTAATAAGCTCAGGCTCTTCCAAAAAACACAGTCACTTCTGCCTCTGCCCCACACTCGTCCTGCAGAAACGTGCTGCCTGCTTCAGCCAGAGGAGGGCAAGGGGAACGAATGGTGGGGGACAAGCTCACATTAACATACCTGACTGGAAGTGTTGCCTGTGGCCTGCTGAGCTTTGCTTCAGTGGGGCTGGGGGTTGCTGGGGAAGGAATGTGGGTGCGCCACCGTCACCTCCCCTCAGAACAGCCAGAGGGGCCTCCTGTCCACCCTCCACCCCCATCCACATGCTCTGAGCTCCTGGTTCCAGGGTTTGTTAGCGGCCTGGAAAGGCACAGAACTCACCTTGGAGGCCTCAGTTGACACCTTCCAAAGATGTGGGCGGGGCTCCCGCCAGGGGTGTGGGCGGAGCTCCCTCTAGGGGTTGGGGCGGGTCCCGGGAGCAAATGGAGCTGGTGAAGCACTCCAGGACAGCAGCAGGGGGAGCGGTTGGCACCCCTCAAACAAGGGTGAGGGGAGGTGCCGCAGGAACCTGGAGAACTGAGGGACTCGCGAGAGGCCAATCGGCGGGAGGTGCGGTTCACTGGCCAGAGGTGCAGCCCCCAAGCGGGAAGGGACGGGGAGGAGAGGCCCCAACCGCCCCCCAGGTCCTCCTGAGGCAGACGCCACTGGCAAACCAGGAACATGGGCGCCCAGGAGGCGCGGTCGTAGGCGTCAGCGTCTGGGGCCCCGGAGTGTTTGGGAGCGGAGGATGGGGACTGCATCACAGTCCCTTTTCCGCCCTCGAACCGTGATCTGCCTCCTGCTCTGGGCCTCTGCCCGAGGTCCTCATAATCCCGAAAGGGTCGTCCCAGCACTGGAGGACAGACATTCAATGACAGCGGGCTCTGCTCAGGGCGAGCACCCTCGAACCCAACTGGGAGGGAGGCTTGAGCGAGGGAGGGGGAAGGAGGTGGCAGAAGTTACTCTGAGGTAGGAGAGCAAGCCCGCCACCCCGGGCCGACCTCTGCTGGGCGTGTGAGAGAGCTCACGCGCACGTGCAAGCCGCTGTCTGTCTGCATTTCTCTCCAGGGCAAACGTGCGATTTCTTGCTCCAGGCCAATTCTTTATGGTTAATAATTTATCTGAAACATGCCTTTCTCTCGGGAAACAACGGCATTTCATGTCACTGTGAAACCATTCAAAGGAAAAATCAGTGATAAACCCTACTCTTAAAAGAAAAATAAACCCCACTGCCCGGAGTCCCAGGGGACGGACTTAGTGAACTCGGCTTAGTGATCTTGGCGAACAGCGCGGCACAGCCTTGCGGGGCCGGCCTGCTGGGAGGATGGCGCTAGAATCAGCTGGGGTGGGAAGGAGGCGATGATTCTGGGGATGCTGCCTTGGTGTGGCAGGGGTTATGTGGGCCGCGGCAGGGGCGGGAGGAGACTAGCACCCCTCGGCCCTCCCTGGGTGGCGACCTTGGCAGGAGGGAGCTCCAGTCAGCACTTCCTACTCACGCTCTGTGACCCGAACTTCATCCCCGCCACTCAAAGTCCCAATTCTGTGCTGGGCGGTGGGGTGCTCAGGGGCCTCCAGGCTGAGGGAGCCCAGAGGAGGGGCGCCCCGCCTGGACCTGGGGCCCGAGAGGTCTCTTGGAAGGGGATGCATGTTAACCAGGCCAAGGGCTGAGAGGGGGCGTGGCTCACAGCGGGACTAGCCTGTGCTTGGCCCCCAAACCCCCTGTCAACTGCTCCAAGCTGCAGAGGGTCCCAGCCATGGGAGCCCATGAAGTTGCCATTTCGGTGGCCTCGTTGTCAGGAGCTTGCTGTAAACGGCTTCTTTATCCACAGGCACAGGATGCTCAGGCCCCAGAGCCCCCACCCAGGCCTCCTCCCCACCCTAGGCTGATATGCACAGGTCACCAGAAGCCTGGAGGTATTTGAAGATCCCAGGGCTGGGAATCAGGATGCCCCGTTCCATTCCCTGCCCAGCTCAGGGGGAATGGCCGCCCGCCCTGTTCCTGCTCTCCTTACCCGTAAAACGAGGGCCCTCCCGGTCTTGGTGCCGCCCCCTGACTCTGTCCCCCCCGTCCTGAGATGGCAGGAGGGCCACGGCCACGAGGTCAGTCCACTACTGAGCAAAGCGCTCGGCTGGGCCCGGAGCCCGAGCCATGCTTGGTGCAGGGCCTTCACTGGGGGAGCTTCGGGCACAGTCCCTGCCCTCGAGGCACACACCCCCTGGGGGAGACGTGGGTGTTAATCAAACAGCACCCCTCCCTCCCTAGGGACCCCGCATTACAGTGGGAGGGGAGTAGCTGAAGGGATGACCAAAGCTCTGTGAGCAAAGACAACTTCTGTCCAGGGCTAATGTGCCCCTCAAACAAGCAATGACCAGTGCGAGCCGTTGAGATAAGGGTCCAAGATGCCCACTGCCTGGGGAGGAGGCCGGGCCTCAGAGCCCGGCGGGGATGGGAGGGAGCCCCAAAGGCTTGTGGACACTAAAGGGTGAAGCCAGCCACCAGCCACGCCCTTCATGCAGAGAAGAGCCCTGGATGTGGAGAGATGATGCCCACCCCCTCCCCGTCCCCTCCCTGGAGCCACCCCCACAGTACAAGCACAGGAAGAGCCCCTTGCCTCCTCTGGCCATCCGTGGCTCAGGTCCTTCACCTTCTGCCATCGATTTGCCATTAAGCCGCTTGACAGCCATTTCCTTCTAATTTACAAGGTATTGGCTGAAAGACCAATAAAAGGCACAAGAACAGTTTGGCCGATCCTTCGGGCCGCTAATTGCAGACACTAAGCAGGCGTGCAGCTCCCAGGGAGCGAGCTCAGGCCACGCGCGTGATGGGGCTCTGGTGTCAGCAGCTTTCCGAGGTTGAGCAGCTTGCAATAGAACGGGCACTTCTGAACCCCCAAGTCTCTTCAGTGGTGCCTTGGAACCCACTGACTGGCCCAGGGCTGTGCAGCGAGTCACTGCTGGTTCATGATATTTATTGAGCACCTACTGTGTGCTGGGGACTAGACTAGGTGCCGGGATGTAGAGATGAACAATACCGAGTCCCTTCTCCACTCCCCACCCCACCGCCCCACCCCCAGCAGTAGAGGAAGCAGATTCAGTGCACAGACCACCAGCAAATTAATAATTGAGGTGTTTTTAAAAACTATGAGGGCTGTGAAGGTGGGGGGAAACTCAGAGTAACGAGGGAGAGAGAAAGCGGAGGGTGGCAGAGGGCTTGCTTCACCTACCCAAAGGGGAGTAGAGGGCTGTGCGTGCCTGGGGCGGGAGTGGGGGGCTTTATGGTTAGAAAGTATGGTTAAGTCTTTATCACCTGCTAATCCATGACCACCTTTTAATTTAACAGACTTCTATGGGGAGCAGGAGACAAGGGTGCATGCAGCCTCTCTTTTCAGGCTCCTTAGAGCTAGTCTTTGCCTCCAGCTTCCCCAGCAGAGCATTAGGCTGAGGGCGGGACCTGTCACATCATTGTCAGCAGGACCCAAGAGGGGCGCCTGGGTCCTGGCCCTCCCAGCCCAGGCCAGATGTGCTGGCAGAGGCAGCTTCTGCAGAGGCTGGAGCTGTCGGCAGACAACGCGGAGTGCCTGCTGCTTGCCAGGCCCGGGGAGGAGGGCAGGTGGGAGGACCCGCCCTCGGACAGGCGGGAATCCTGGACACAGCCAAAAGAAAGTTCACTGCTTTTTCTCTTGGTTTTAGGAGCCATGCCGTGTAGGGCGCTGTTCGTAGCCATCTCTGCTGGCACCAAGGTGGAAATGCCTTTCTTTGGTTTATTGGGACTGGTCCTGGCTGGCTCCCAGCGCCGCGGAGCCCTAGGGTTGCACATTAGGTAGGAAGTCTGTACACTGAGGGGCGATGGCTGCTGCTGGCCAGCAGGAGCCGCTTCCCACTGACTTCGTCCCAGCAGCAGCCCCGAGAGCTAACAGAGAGCTAACAAACACTTACGGAACGCTTACTGCATGCCCGAGGCTCCTCTAAGTGCTCGACATGCATTAACGTATTTAATTATCCCAACAAGCCTATGAAACGGACACCATTATCGTGCCCGTTTTAAAGACCAGGAAACTGAGGCATGGAGAAGTTAAGTGGCTTGCCCGAGGTCACACGGCTAGGAAGTGGTGGAGCCAGGGTTTACTGGGCCGTGACCTCTGCCTGTCAGTACTTCAGTGTCACCCTGAAGGGCTGTGCTTGGCGAAGGGACCGTGTGGGGCAGGGGTGCAAGGTGGAGCCATCTCCTGCTGTGTAGACAACTCCAGGAGCCCTGGGCTCCAGCGAGTCCCGGGGACTTCAGGAGTGGGCTGGGCCGCAGCCCGGGTAGCAGAGTGGCTGGGGCTGAGCTCCCACGAAGGAGGGGAGCAAACTGAGTCCACTTAGCCGGGAGCCCTGGGCAGCCGCCCTCTCCCCTTGCCGTGCCCAGGCTCTGCAACGCCGCTGCTGGGGAGCTGGACCAGCCAGAGATGCCTTCTCCGCTGGGCGGAGCCTCTGCCTGGGCCGCCCGTCCCTTCCAGCCCGAGAAGCTGGCTGAGACACTAAGAAGGCCCAGGACTGCTTCCTGTCACGTCCCTAGTGTCCCTCCAGCCAGGCTGGCTTCCCACTAGGCCGTCTGAGCCACTCTGTTCCCCCAGGGCATAGAAAGGGGTGCCCTGGCCAGCAGCCTGGCTTCGGAAGCTTCCTGTCTCCCATCTTCTCCTGGCAGAAGGAACCCTGCTGATTTCCTGCCTTCATCTGAAGAGGGCAGAAACTCTGTGCCCCCCAGGCTTCGCCAGACCCCCCACTTCTTCCTTTTCTGGCCTGCCAGGCTCTTAAGCCTTATCTCCCCCGCCCGGAACCTGTTAGAGTAGATTCTTCAGACCCAGCCTAACACCGAATATTGATCAGGGAGGAAGGCAGTGTGGGTTTGGGCCCAGAAATGTGTACCTGTTAATATTTTCTGGAGTCCTGATTCTGATGCCCTTTCCCCCCTCGTATATTGATGATAAATTTACGACTCTCCTTGAAGTCCATCGGGGGCCTCATGTTGGGGAACATGGATCTCACTGTAAGAAAATGCACACACACGCTCCCCAGTTTCCCAGGCCATGCGAACTCACCCGAGTCTGAAATCAAGCCCACCCAGCCAAGTCAGAGCTGCTCGAGGCCCCTGGAAAGGGGTGGGTGGGATGGGAGGAGGGATGAAGGGGACGGAAGGAGAAAGGCCCGGGGCAGAGGTGGGCTCAGAGTCGGTCATTCCCATGAACCGTCATAAACAAGGCAACTCTGAGCCCTGCAAACCCGGGGGTCTCGGATCCCAGAGCATGGGATGTGCTGGGTGAAAGCGAAGTGAGACTGGCTCCTTGGAGGCCTGAGAAGCCCCGGGCGCTGGGGAGAGGAGGGCTTCCCAAGCTAACTGGACCACAGGCTCGTTTCGGGGCAATGCTGACTTAACAGAGAAACGTCTGGACCGGAACTTGGTAGCAGTGGGTGGTGGTCCAGGCCCCGCCATAAACCAGCTGCGGCTCCTTGGGCAAGTCACCGCTCTCCCTCAGCCTCAGTTCCCCAATGAAAGGAAACTCTTAACTGCAGGCCTAGCTTCTTCAGGGGACCAGAAAATCTGCGGCTGAGAGTGCTTCGCACAAAGCATGACACACCGTGGGGGGAAGTGCTGGTTCACGTCTCGCATTTCTAGAAGCAGCCACAGTGGCTGGGCCTGACGCCCAGGCTGAGCGCACCTGGGTTTCTTCGTGAGTTCGGTGAGCTGCTTCTGCTTCAAGGGAAAAGGGAAGGGTTAACAGATTTGATCTCGGGGTGCTGTCTGAGCTGGCCTGATAATCCCACCCCATGAAACTACTGATAACCACCTCTCAGAACCTCCCTCCCCAAACTAACGCACATAGGCTTTATCCCATGGGCATCAAACTAGTCACCAAGTACTAGTCCTTCTGACACTGAGTTAGGGGAGGCTCTGGGGACATTTGAGAAGGCAGAAGTGATCAGTCCTCGGGCTTTCAATGATGACTATAAACATTCAATTTAAATAAGGCACAACAAAGGCCAGTTCAGGCTCAGCCCCAGCATTACGAGGGACACAGGAGGTATCTGAGCTACCGCCCCAGGGGCCTCAGATCCACCCAGGAGACAGCAGGACTGTGTCATGGAATTGCGCGACACAGCACTCACGGCCTGGATCAGGAGGCTGTAGCCGCTGAGGCCCAGGGCTGGGAGCTGGAGCCCTTCTGAGCCACTCAAGAGGAGCTGGGAGTTGGGCCAGGCCAGAAGGTACTATTACAAATTCACTTCCTCAGCAAGTGAGCAAGAGCCCTCTCACAGCTCCCCTCCCAGCCTTCCCGATCCCCCGTGTGCACGGAGGAGTGACTCTCGGGGCAGATGGCCCCTGGAATGAGCTTCGAATGGCTCAACATGAAGAGTTTGGGAGCCACTCGTGCGCACGCATTTAGTTTGGACATTCACCACCCTCATCACCATCATCATCACCACCATCACCACCGTCAGCTACACTCCGACCACCATCACCACCACCTGCTAATCCACTGTCACCACCGCCAGGACCGTCACTATCGTCACCGTCTCCGCCACCACCTTCACCCGCATCCCGATTTCCACCGCATCAGCCCGTCCTCGCCATCACCGCCATCCACGTCACCACATTTCCCCCTTTCCCACGGTGACACAGAGGCGAGGCTCCTCTTTTAACCATCTGCATCCCCACATTTTCCTCTTCACGACTGTTTGCTCATAATCAGAGATTTCAATCGAAGCCTGACCGTACGTCACACTAGGCTGATCATGCTTGTCGTGAGCAGTTCAAACCTCTGGTCCCTGTTTCATCGTGAGTAGCTCCCCTCTTTCCTCTCAGCTGTGCCTTGGTTTCAGTGACACATTCTCTGTCACCCACGTTAAGACCACATCCAGCTTCTGACTGACCCCCACAAAGCTAGCAGTCCAAGGATGCTAACCTGGAACCGCGCCTGGTGAGCTAACTGGACGGCACGGCCCCCTCCCCCCGCCAGGCATGGATAACTAACGATGTCCCTCCCTCTCCTGCCTCCCCTGCCCCTCCACCCCCACCCAGGAAACCCCTGAGAAAGGAGGAGAATGGCACCAGTGTTGCTGAGTATCCCATGACGTCCTCGGACAGCAGCAAAGGCGTGGACGTGAACAGCGCCGTGGTGTGAGCCTGCTGGCCGGAGGGGCACCTCGGTGGCACTAGTGGTCACGAGCTGATACTGAGCTTGTCCGGACTTCATCGCCTTGCTGGCCTCGAGCCTCCCGAAGGAGAAACCATCCTCTTCCCAGCCTTGGCCTTGGTCAGCCCGTGGGCAGGGGCAGCGCCGACGCCCCGCCGAGCGAGGCTCACTGCATGCCGCCCAGGACAGTGCCACCGTCCGCGGCTCCCACATCTCTTCCTCGTCTTGCGTTTGGTCCGCTGCCTCCCAGCTACTGCCTAAAGCATGCACTCTGTCAAACGCAGAAGGTCTGTCTGTCTGTCTGCTGGGGAGGAGGCATCCCCCTGTAGCCAAAAGAAAGGTGATCTGAGGGGCATCCCTCCTCACAAAACCCCTCCTCCCGGCAGGAGGCCGTGCTGCTTCACTGACCACGCCCTCCCGACCGGAGCCATCAGCGCAGCCATGAGACGTCCCCCTTCTACGGTGCTTCCCACACATCTATCTGTCACCCCATCTGTGATCGTCTTCAGTCTGCAGGGCCTGCCTCCTCCCTCCTGTCCCCAGTGACACCCCAGGCCCCTGGGTCCTGACTCCTGACTCCCTGTCACGGAGGGCTGTGAGCCTGGCCTGCAAAAGTCCCCTCCTGACCGGACAGTCAAAGGGGCTCGTTTACATTCGGGGGGACGCGTCTGGCCTTGCAGGGGTAGAATGACTCACTGAACCCTAAGCCAAGGGCCCAGGCAGGACGAGGTCACTACATTTGCTCTCAGACTATTCCTCTACCTGACCCTTTGGAGCTGATGGATTTGTGTGAGCTCAGCAGAGGCCACAACTCGTGCCAAACCCACCGGGCTGATCCGCCTCCCTGATGCTCGCCTGAGGCCCTGACCAGGTAGCAGACTCTCCCGAGAGCCCCTGGGCCTCCCGTCATCTCGAAGGAGGTGGCATTCTCCCAGGGGCTCCCTCGAATGTCTCTTTGTGGGGTCTTAAGTTCCAAAAGTGCTCAACCCTGCAGAGTGATTGGTGGACAAAGGGAAGGAGAGGGGCCTCCAGCCCTGTTTCCTGGGTGGCCGCGGGCACACCGTTCGGCCCATGGAGACAGTGGCCCTGTGGCTTTGCATCGCCTGGTGGGATGGGAAAACACTCCTGACCCCATGACTCCCTCAGCGCCCACACACTTGCTAGGAAGGAGCCAGACACATTCAATGCTTCCCCTCTGGGCAGGTAGGAACTTAGCTAGGTGGACCCCGTCTGCCTCCCAAGCCACCAGTGTCATTCTCTGGAGGATCTGGGGCCACGGGTGAGACTTCAGCACCCTGGCGAGACTGACAGACTTAAAAACAGCCCCCATCTGGGCTGAACCTTGACACGTCCATTGTCCCAGAGCCCTTGCGCCCACATCGTTATCTGTGTACCACTGTCTCTTGGAGAGAGGGGGGACAAGGTGAGTTTCCCACGAGCCTAACCCAGGCCCTGCCCCTAGGTCGGTGGGTCCAGGCTGAGCTCAAGCCCCGGGCATCCCGTCCCAGAAAGGGTTTTTCCTTCTCGCTTCTCCTTCTGTATGAGGACTTGTTTTGGGTTTGGATATAGGTTTTGCTTTCCCCACACGCCTTCATATGGCACAGTGCCACTGCGGCCTTCATCCTTGCCCCAGCCTGGTGGCCACATCACAGTACTCCTGGTTGTCCTCCTCATTCCTCTCAAGGGATACACAGCAGGGTGACAGACAGGGCAGAGGATGTGAGTCCACAGCAAGGCAGACCCTACCCCAGGGCCCTCTCCCCACCACCTGCACCTCCTAGAGTCCCCTGCCTGTCCCCTGAGCAGATCCCAGACGGGACCCCAGCCCTAAGCACATGCCGCCCTGAGCTCAGAAGGGATGGCGGGCACTTTCGGCCACAGGGGAAGCCTCTGGCTCAGGGGTCGTGGGGCGCTGGGCATCCAGCCTGGGAGGACATCGGGTGGAGCAGGCACAGCCACCTTTCCTCATGTGCACTGGTCCTTCCTTCCCCCAGCCTAGGTTTAAACCTAAGAGGCCCAGACCCGTCGTCCCCAGGAAACCACCTCCATCAGGCTCTGGGGCCAGTATCGCCGTTCCCGGGCACGTAGCCAGGGCTCTGTGCAAAGCCAACCTTTGAGAGTAAATTCCCCCAAACTGAGTTTGTAAAATCTCTTCTCACCCAGCCAGTGAAAATCGAGAGAAGAGCCCAGTTGTTTTGTTTTGTTTTTTTTAAAGGATTCACTTGAGAACCCCCCAAACCAAGACCAGACATTCACAGGTGCAGCGAGAGCCCCACTGAGTGTTTCGCTTAAGTGACAGAAGTGTCCGTAAACCACACCAGCTTGGTATCTGAGCTTAAAACTTTTACTAAAGGATTGTGTCTGCCGCCCCTAAACACAAACCGATCCTCAGACTAGGTCGAACTTTGAGGCTGAGGGCGAATTGAACATTTCCTTCTCTGCATTTTCTCAAGAAGGTCTTTTTCAGCCGTGTCTCCGGGTTGAGCCCAACATATAGAATCCCCCAGAGTTTCCAGGTGTTCCTTAGGAGCTTCTAAAGCAAGTTTTAGAAGAAAGACTATTAGCTGTAAAAAAAATATAAACATATTATATACAGTTATATATATATTTAAAGAGATATCAATATATATCCAAAATTACTGCACTCTCTGAATCTGTGCAGAGTGTGATTTGAACAGCCCAGGTGTGTGTGATGACTAATGCATGAATGTAAGTATCTGAGATCTGCCTTCGTAACAACAAGCCGAGTGTACATTGGGAGATGGCTCCCGTTCCTTGGGGTTCTGTCTCAATGGACAAATAGACACGTCGGTGCCGTCTTGTCTCCCAGGAGCCAAGGACGTCAACTTCGTGCTAAGACTTTTCATGGGAAGCGGGGCCGGCAGCACTGGGGTGTGGGCTGTCTGTCCTGACAAAGAAGGAAGCACCATGCCTTTGTTATTTTCAATAAAACTATACTTATAAAGATGGCTGCCACTTGTCATTTGTGGCAGGGGCTTGGCTCTGGGCGGGGGTGGGAAGGAGAGAGCAGGCTGAGTGTGGGGCTAGGAAGTTTTCCCAAAATATGGCGATCCTGTGGGGCACCACAGCGGTTGGGCCTGGGAGGCAGAGCGAGCACGGCACGACTCCAAGTGGTGGCCTCGCTGTGGCCTCACCTTGGGACACACTCATCCACTGCACCTCACTAGTGATCCCCCCACTGGCCCACCCACCACCCTCCTCTGCCATCCCCCACGCAGGCACTAAGTGCCTTTAGCTTCTCTCCTCCCTCTTCCAAAGCCAGCTGCCAAAATCCCCGACACGGGTTTGACGCCCCGTCTCCATCCCTGGCACACACAGGGCCGCCCAGTCCTGGCCGCGGGCGCCACAGCATCCGCCTCCATCCTGCGGATCCGACCTCTCGGCACCTCCTCTCCTCCTTCATCCTAATGAGCGTGATGACTCCCAAGCACCTCCCAGGCCCTCCTTGCCCACCCATCTCCAGACCCGAGTTTGTCCTACTGCACACTTCCCGTGCAGGACTCTTGGCTCGCCCCCCACCCGGTCACCCTGTCATCTCTACGCACAGCCTCACGGCCCACTTCCCTTTCTCAGCCCAAACCCGAACAGTCACCCTCTTTGCCTTGGACCGGTTCTATGAACTCGTTCTCCCCAACACTTAAGTCCACCTGCTTAACTCGGCTCCTGCCACCCCAGTCCAGGCCACCGTCCCCTTCCGCCTGCCTCTGGGCTTCCACCTCTGCGGCCCCCACGATCCGTTCCCACAGAAGGCAGCGGCATCTTTACAAAAACGGGTCAGATCGTATGTGAGTTAAAATCTGCCCACGACTTTTTTCACACTTAAAATAAAAGCCACACTCCTTACCCTGGCCCATGAGGCTTGGGCTCTTCCTGACCCTTGTCCCCTGTCACCCCCTCTCCCAGCCTCCGCTTCTCCCCTCACCACCCTGGCCCTCCTGCTGCTCCCCGCGTGTGCCAGCCCCTTCCCCGCTGAGGTCCTGACAGCCACTGTCCCCCACGGTGGCTTCCCGGGACCGCCCGCCCCCATCAAGCTCTAGTCTAGCGCCTCCGCTCGTTTCCAGTGCAGTTCCCCGCACCTCAGAACACCTGCTGGTTGCGTGCACATTCACTGACCTGCTCTTCCTAGGCCCGGAACAAGGAATATTTGTAGAATTAATTAATTAGTTAATTGTGGGTTACGCATTTAATACCATACACACAGCATAAAGAAAAGAATATAGCATTTTATTTCACACAACTGTTCAGAGTCCCCCACCTCATGAGGTGTGTGCTGGGGGAGGGCAGGGTAGAAAAACCTAAACTTGCGAATTGATGGTATTGGGGCCTCTTCCGGTTTAACAAGTCTTTTGGGGGTGACTTGGTCTCTATGGACAGATTCTCAGCCTGGGAGCCGTCTTCCCGGGCCTGTTCCGCTCTGGGAGGCACCCAGGCAAGCCCCTGGGCAGGTGTGAGGTGTCTGGTGCAGGGGGAGCAGGGCTGAGACCACACGGGGTCATCAGGGTCCTGGCAGGGCCCCGACGCATTGTAGTTGGCCTGAGCTGCTTCCTCCCCAGGGGACGGCAGGGCTGTGCCTGGGTTCTTCTAGCCTCTGAGGGTGACCAGCCGGCCCCCGTGGCTCCAGTTGCAAATGATGAGGCCGGAGCAGTCCCCTTCTCGTGACCAGAGGCTCTGCCCATCATCCTCTCTGTCGGCACCAGCCATGGGGACGCTGGAACCTCCACACTCACGCAGGCCGGGAGGGGGCTACCAAAGCCGGGTGCTCCGGACGGCAGCCACCTCCCCCTGCCAAGGCCACCAAGGGCTGCAGGCAGCCTTCCCAGAGGTCTGTGTGGCACCACGTTCTGGGGCTCATCCAGGCATTTCGACAGCATCCTCACCCGAGAGGGAAGACGGACGCCTGCCCGGCCTCTCAGCCCTGCCCTGAACGTGTCCCCCTTTTCCTTTTGCCAACAACCCCTCGAAGTCCA